AAGTCGCACACAGCTTTAACTAGACGATTTGATAGCGATCAATTTCGAGGTATCTATCTTTTTGCACCGGACCATATATAAAATCTGGCGTTTTGACTTGTCGCCTGAGTATCACTCATATATTGCTTCTATCGATGCAAATCAGATCTTAAATAATAAATGAGCGGATAAATTATGAAATTAGTGAGCGTTTAAATAGTAACACAGGATGCAAACAAAGCCACACCGTATTACTAATTTTTGATAATGACGTGATCTTCAACTATTAGAGGCTGTGACACCCGCAACAATTAGGTAATAAAAACATCACGTGGAATACAAGCATCAGTCGACTGCAAGCATCAGCCGCGACAGTAAATGATATAATCACCAGATCACGTTACTGCACGAATTGTCTGGTGCTACTGGGGAAAACTATTAAAAAAAAGATTGTGTGATGGACTTCAATAGGTTCTTGCTTTTTTAAAAAAGAAGGAATAAACGCCATACTTAGCCTTAACTATTCGCATCTCAATAATGGCAAATCACTTACAAACCTATTTACAATATTTTCTCGATACACGACACAATTACTCGGCGATCGATTTTTTCAAAATATACGGTTTCAGCGACAAAAGCAAAGCTCATCGAACATTAACTAAGTGTCTTGAACACTTGAGTTCAAGCTCGAAACCAGAACTGCAAACAATTTCTGCCAACGTAATGGAGACTTTAAAGGTATAATAAGTTTGAACAGTTTATAAGTTTCAAGTTTTACTAATAAGATCTCTTCTAATAGTGCAAGAAAAATATTAATGCCTTTTGGGCATCCAAAAAACGCGAGAAGAAAAAAAATAATTTGGAAGAAAGAATTCAGATTGTTGAAAGGGAGAGCAAGTTGCATGATGTACGTATTTCTACAAGTTAATTTTGCTTCGCAAGCTTCAAATGGTTGATGCCCTCGTTATGCTAGGTTAAACAACACGCGACCGCAAAAAAACTAATATTTGAACAAGATAATAATGTTCGCAAAAACTTTAATGCCGAAATATTAGAAAAAAGGAATAATATTCGAGATATGGAAGAGGATAAGTCAGTGCCTTCTATTCCAAAATCTCGTAAACGAAAAGTAGAAGACTTACCAGAAAATAAGGTATAACACTATTGGGATCAACGGTCTGATCTGAACAATAATTATAACTAATATTTTTTTTTTACAGAATAGTAAGATGCGCCTCCTTGAACATCAACCTGAAAGTGAGCTTGAAGATAACGAAAATAAACTATGTGATGATGAATATGATGAAGATGATGAAGATGACGAAAATGACGATCAAGACTCGGACAGTGACGCTGAATCAATTAATGGAGATAAGGGTGAAGAAGAAATTAAGACGCTTACGCAGGTATTTATTAATTTGTAATTTTTTAATGCTTTTGTATAACTGATAATAATTATACTTAAATTTCTAGGATGAAGTGATCGTCCGTAACAAATTAATCAAAATTCTTACTGCGCGTCAAAAAAAAGATAAAAAAGCCGGGAAAGATTTCATGACATCAATATACCTCAATGGTATTATAGATTTATCAGATAATGAAATGCAGAAGCGGATTAAAAAGTCCCTGAATGAAGAACAAAATAGTTGGCTTGAAAGAGTTCTTGAGAAAAAAGCTTGGAAACCAACACCCGCATGCATACAATATCTTAATCAATTTACTGAAGAAGTGTGTAACCGAAACGAAATCCCAACTATTGTTCGCAAATCTTGTGTTACTGGAAGATTTGACCCTTTTTATCACGAAGCACATGAAATTGCACAGCAAATATTAACGCATTGGTAGGTGTTTATTTTTTTTTGTTGAACATTAACAATTCCATTATTACTTACTTACTTTCCATGAGTAGTTCTGTCCGACTTGAAGCCCCGATGAGAGTCGAATACAAAGGCCTCAATCTTGAAAGAACTTATGCGGTTGACACCATTATATACTTTTTCAATCGGCTATTCAGAATGCACCAAGATGAATTAGATGTTGCTTGGTAATTATCAATTTTAAAAATTCAAAGTTCGAATAATTAATCTTGCTAAGTTTTATTTATTTATTCATTTAAGGATTGAATCTCAAACTTCGGATACCAAAAAACATAAATTTGATGGGTTGTACAAAGTGATCAAGGCAGTCGATAAAAGCCAGGCCATAATCATTATAGAATTTTCACGCGGACGAAAGACACCCACGTCTAAAAAATATGATGATCAAGTAAAAATGTGTCGAAATTCAATGAGGACTCTTAACAAACTATTACAGACCGTTCCGAAGAATCTTGCACGAGTGTATCTAGTACAATCTTTCAGTAAGTATTACAATCAGAAGTTAATAGCATAAGGCTGGTTATTTACATATATTATCCGTTTTTTATAGATGGATTTATTGAAATAAAGTACCTAGTTCGACCACTGCCAACAATATACGTACTCCAACAATTTTTGCGCATCAAAATACCTGTTACGTTTGCTGATTTTGAACAGTTTTCAAAAGACATCATATGTTTGATGGATTGGCAGGTAGAGTATTTTCAGTACTTGTCGATAACAATATCAAACAAGTAATAATAATTGGTTTTTTTACAGACGGATGTTTTGTCAACAGCTAGGGCAGTAAATAAAGCATCCACAAATGCCATGGAAAATAATAACGTTTATATAACTTCGGTGGACAATACTCCGCAAAAGAAAAAAGGTAATAAAAAACAACCTTTGCTTAAATCCTCATCCCCTGATTCCTCACCTCCCAGTTCCCCATCTCCTGGTTCCAAATCGTAGATTCATCATTTTATGAAAAATTTGATTTAAACGATTTAGAAAATGCGTTATTTAGAAAAAAATTTTCAAAAACTGTTATCAACTATTTCACAATGTATCATTCAAAATTTTTTTATAATACATAATTTGTAAAATTTTCGGCGACAGGCCGTCCCTAAATAAATGTTTGAGTATATACAATCTATCATTAAAACATGCAATCTGAGATTAATTCATTGAGACAACGAATTTCTGAACTTGAAAGCCGAAAAGGCTGAGCCTGAGGCAAAGAATGCTAAACTGATAAAACAGGTTATGGAAGAGAATGCCAAACGAGAAGCTAAAAATGTCGAGCTCAAAGCCAGAATCGTCGGATTGGAACAGATCGCAGAGCTTAAAGATAGAATCACAAAATTGGAACAGAAACCAGGCAACTTCCAATAAACAGAAAGTTTCTCCTACAAAAGATATTTTGCCACTTATCGAGAGCCATGCTTATGAGGAGAAAGATGTTATCCATCCCTTGTCTGAAATAGAATATAAATCTAAATCTTCAACGTCGCAGGAAAAGTTTGTCGCGAAAAAGAGATTGCATTTGCGGCTTTCGTAGTATTCATATTCACGCTTCTTTAGTTATCGTCGTTTGCTGGCATGAGTTACACTCATGGCTCTTCGAGCCTTGAAGTATAGAGACACTTTTATCATCAGTGTGATCTGGTAGAGTGGAGCTCATGCCAAGGCATATATCAGTATCAATTTTTCCAACTTGATCCATACCTTTTCCACGTATAAAATATTGATTGAGATCTTTACTAGGTATATCAGATGCGATAGCATCATCACTCCGTGAGATAGAATTCGGTATTTTTTTTTCATCTGCCTCACCGCCGATCTTGATTGGTTCTGACGATAACTTGGATTCTAAGGAGTGTATCTCTGAATTTTTCAAGGCCAGATCATCTTTTATTTGTTTCAATTCGTCATCTTTCGAAGCCAATGCATTCTCCAATGACGAATCTTGTCCTTGAGAGTATCTATCTTTGAGCGTAATTGCTTAACCTCATCTATAAGTTGATATACATACTTGGAGAGTATCTCATTACTGCAACGTAATTGATCATTCTCCTTATTGGTATTTATGCTATGATTCGAATATACCACTTGCATATTTTTATATTCA